AAGCCTTACTTTGGTATAATTGTGATGATTATGGTGTACAGTTTATGAAAACCCCAAATTCACAATCTCAGAAAATTAGAATATTACATGACATCAATAACACAAGGATTGGAAATAGAACAAGATCGGACCTCTGCAAAGTATAAGCATGCATATGTACTCAGTACTTGGTTTGGGCCCCTTTTGCAGCAATGACATCAATAACACAAGGATTGGAAATAGAACAAGATCGGACCTCTGCAAAGTATAAGCATGCATATGTACTCAGTACTTGGTTTGGGCCCCTTTTGCAGCAATGACATCAATAACACAAGGATTGGAAATAGAACAAGATCGGACCTCTGCAAAGTATAAGCATGCATATGTACTCAGTACTTGGTTTGGGCCCCTTTTGCAGCAATGACATCAATAACACAAGGATTGGAAATAGAACAAGATCGGACCTCTGCAAAGTATAAGCATGCATATGTACTCAGTACTTGGTTTGGGCCCCTTTTGCAGCAATGATTACTCAGTCTGTTTTTTTAATTGCAGGAAGAGTTTTTAAGAAATTCAAAGGACCACAGGCATAATATATTGGTTTCACCTTTTGAGTTGCCATATTGACATAAATGAACATTTGCACGATATTCTAATTTTTCGAGTTTCACCTGTACTCCTAAAATTAATTTCAATATTTTGTATTTCTCCACTTACTGGATCACTGATTTCAATATACAAAAAATGGAGGAAAAGTCTTAAAAAGGTATTGGATACAGTTCCAAACTTTCCCCATTCCAAAATCAATTATACTTATGCCACCATTATCATTATTAATACTACTACTGCCATTACTATTACTACTGTTGTTATTGTTATTATTTCCTTCAAATCATCTGAATAAAAGTAGTAGTATAAGATTTCTGCCTGTGGTCCTTTGAATTTCTTAAAAACTCTTCCTGCAATTAAAAAAACAGACTGAGTAATAGCAAGGATATATTTAATAATTTTCCATTAGTAATTCAACCACTCTTCATCAGCTCCAGGGGAATATTTGTAACTGTAGTCTCTAGGCAAGCATACTAGGAGGTATTTTTACAATTTATTCCAATCAAATCACAGAGTAAACCCAGATAACTCTTACCATGCCTTTTGTCTCCGGAAAGAAATTTGACCTGCAAATTAGTACCCAACTCCCCAGCTATAAGCATGACCTGTTGTATTAACTCTTTCTAGAGATGGGCTTAAACCCAGACAATAAAAATTAAAGTCTGTTTCCTTCCCAAAGACCAATCTCTGTCTCCTATCCTTTTCAAGTATTTTTGTATCATCATTATCAATCTGGTCAAGAAAGATGAACATTTTTATTAATTAAGAAACTATTTACTATTTAGCAAAAAAGGTGTAACCGGCAGAAGTCTCGAACTGATGTCTGGACGGTGTAAGAAACTGGATAAGAAGAAACAAGCTCAGAATAAACTCTATTTGGATGGAGGCGCTGGCAATCAGTAATTGTGAGTTAGCTATCACGCATTCAGAGGAAAACAACTTAATATTGGATTTGTCCATTACCAAAATAAGAGACATATGGAAACTGGGACTCTGGTCCAAAATAGGTTATCCAGCTTATTCCATACCTCAGGCAGGAAAAAGAGGCACAAGAATGAAAATCTTGATTTCACTACAGATACAACTTGCATTTGATATACTATATAGCAGTTGCTGGAATTTGTTCCTGATAGCTTAACTTTTCTACAATAGAAGTTCAGGATTCTTATGTGCCTATTAATTGGTTACAGGAAAAGCCTGACAGTAAACATCTTGGTCTTCTAGAAATATAAATCCCAGTGGTTTTCTCTATGGGGTTGTACTCCTCCTAAACAATCAGGTTTTTTTTACTTGAGGATCCTGCTGGCAGATGGAAGCTGTGGCAGGAACAGACTTTACCCAGCTTAGGTTGGTATACCAGTTATAGCCTTATCTGGACTAGGAAGCCCTGGCAACAGTAACTCATGTGCTGATCACAATGCAACACACTTTACATGGGCTTTCTTTGAAGACAACCTGGAAGCCACTAGTTCAGAATGCAGCAAAAAGGCTGCATTGATTCAGGCTTCCAAGCAAAATTCAAAGGTACACACACACACAAACATACACACACACGGACACTCTGTATAAACTTCTCCATATAACACAACCCTGGGATTATACATCAACATGCAGCATGACTCTGGGATATATCAGGAATTGCTTTTCCATTTAATGTATTATGTTGCTTGATGTTTATACTGAGTTTTTATTGGTTTCTATGCTGCATTTCCAACCCAGAATCTTTCAGACTAGTGCAGTATAAAAATGCCAATAAATTAAAAAATATAATAGGGATTCTGGTGAGTGCATCAAACAGAATTGCATGTAAAGTATGGTTCTTCTAAAAAAAACAAAAAAAACCTTTTTCCTCTTAACTCACAGATGTTATGGAAAACACAACAATTGCATTAATAACTACATCTTCAACATCAAAGAAAACTGGGATCACCATATGAGTTTTAACCATCTGAGTGCTCTTTCCACAGGCAATCTAAACGCTCTCCTATAGAAGCAAAAATTATCTATGGCAATTCTTGGACTTCACTATGGTTCCTTGAATAAGCTCTATAAAGAAAAGCCACAATGACAGAATGTAGTATTTAATCATTTATCAGCACTAGAGGCCCAAAAAGAAATGTACTTGCTGCCATTCTTTAGTGGCAGGAAAATATCCAGGACATGGCCTCTCAAAAGCAGCACTGCAGTCATATAGAGTCATGGTAATTGTTCAGCTACAATCTTTATAATGTTTGCAACGTGCTTTGAACTTCAGACAATCACTTTAGATCAACTATACATCTCATCACTTCCTTACTCTCAAGCTTTAGATTTTTGCTTTCTTATTTATTTATTCAATTTGTATGGCCACCCATCTCACCAAGTGATTCTGGGCACTGAACAAAATTTAAAAAATAAGAACTATTACAATAATACAAAAATTAAAATATATAGCAGCCAAGAATAAATCATACATCATAATTGCTAAATTAACCAAGAAATGAGTCCTTGCACACACTCCTGGCCCCAGGCCTGGGTACAGAGCCAGGTCTTTAAGGACTTACAAAAAGCCAGCAGGGTTGGGGTCATTGTTTCTTCTTGTTTCCCAAGAAATTTTAATGAGCCCCTACACAACTTACACTCTTTTCTCTTGATCCTGTCCCCACAAACCTTTTGTATCAATGATACCTATTTCACCCTCAAACAGATGGAATGTAAGCTAACAGTTATATTCAGCCACACTTACAATGACTTTACTATCTGAATTAGAATATATACATATTCTAAAGAAAACAGACAACTGTATTCCCCTGTATTTTGTTCTCATGCTTCTGAATGTTTTTGAGTTACAGAGAAGTTGAAATGAACAGTCAAAAAAACTCAGTTCTCAATGAAAGATAAGTTAAGTATTGTAAAATAGAATAGGATTAAGACTGGACAAGTCATTACATTGCCTGTAAATACTGCCTATCTGTTCTGCTCTTTTCCTATCACCCGTGAAAAGCATAAAATTAGTAAAACTATTTTAGCAAATTCCTCCCTTTCAGGTGCAACTCAAAGAGTTGGCTACCAGTGTTAAAGCACTGCAGAGCACAGGATCAGGGTACTCGCAGAACTGCCTATTTCTGAAATTTCTGCCTGTTTCACCAGGTCTGACAAAGTGGTCATGTTGTAGGTCAAACAATGTCATCTTGCAAGACCAAGGAGGTGTGTCTTCTCTATTGTGGCACCTGCCCTACAGAATAGCCTCCCCCATGAGATTTGGAGGGCCTTCACCTTCCGGGAGGCTGTTGACCTTCTTGTTTTCCCATCCTGTTAGGGCCAGGATGTTAGGGGAGCTCCATATACATGTATCTATTTCTGTGAATTGATTATATGGTGCCTTAGTTTTCTTTCATATTGGACTATTTCAACTTTTTTGGTTATGGTGATTCTTTTTATAGTGGTTTTTCTTCCTTTCTTTTTTTGGTAAGCTGGTTGTTGGTCACTCAGAGTTACATAGTTACATTTTCTAGATAGACAGAGACAGACAGACTCATACAGATAGCAGTTATCTGGGTACTAGTAACAATTTTGCTTATAGTATAAAAATCTATCTTAAGATCAGAAGTTGTATCAGTTCATGGACAGCTCTTTGATATGATGATTATTTAAGTTTACGCTCCAACTATTATGCAGAAAAATAGGAGGCTGATGTGTTTTATGATCAAGTTCAATCTGAAACTGACAGAACATGCAAGCAAAATGTGCTGTTTGTGGTTGGAGATTGAACTGCCAACAGTTGGAAATCTTAAGAAGAAAATGTAGTTGGACTGTTTGGTCTAGAAAATTGAAATGAAGCAGCAGAATGAGTTATTAAATTTTGCCAAAAAATGTTTGTATCAATGTATGCATATTTAGCCAAAGTTGATATGGGTGGGACTAAAGCACCATGCAGTCATGTTATTGCTGATACCTTCTGCAAACTGTATTTAGGTCTGAAAACCACAGTTTCCCCTGATCATAACTTGTGGAATTGACACAGGCTATGTGTTGACTGAATAAGCCTTGAAGGAGGAGATAGTGCTTCTAGCTTCAAGATACAGTAGTGAGAACAATTTGAAGTAGTTGGCCCTATACTACTGGGTGGGCATGTGTATGAGTATGCAGTGACTTCTAATTTAGCTTATGGCTGCTTATCAGTTCCTGTGATCCAAATATCTCCTCTGCCAGGAAATATTCAAAGTTTGTCACGAACTTCTGTTCTCCTAATACGCTAATTTCAAATATTGTTTTGTTGTCTTATATTGTACTACAGTTTCCTTTTATATCTGACCTGTCAGTCAAATAAATAAGCTCCATACAGTAATAGATTATGTTGGTTTTTGGATATGGATCAAGGAAGCTATTTCTTGAAATGAGATTAGGAGGTAATTTGGGGAGATGAGAACAAGCAAATAGACTTAGTCTAGATTAATCCTTGACCTGGACTTAGATGTAGTTCCATCTTGGGAGGTTTTTTTGGACCTGTGCTAACCAGAGATGCTAGGATGACAATGATAGTCACAAATGCTTTTTACCCTGTTAGACATTTTCCTTTGTTAGTATGACAGTGATATATTCTGTATTTGGCTGCATTTGAAAATAATTCAATAGCTTCATCTTGTGAAGAATAGGGTGTCTGAATATTTATGTGGGCCAGGGCAGTCAGCCCATGCAACAACTAAACTCCATGGACTGTCAATACATACAGGTAGTCTTCAAGTTATGACCATTCTTTCAGCAACTGTTCTAAGTTACAATTGCACTGAATGAAGGGACTTACAACTGGTCCTTGAAGTTCCAGCTGTTGCAGTGCCCCTGCGGTCACATGAACAAAATTTGGGTACTTGGCAACCAGCTCGCGCTTACAACTGGTTGCAGCATCCCATGGTCACATTATCACCATTTGCAACCTTCTCTGCCAGCTTCCTACAAGCAAAGTTAATGGGGAAGCCAACAGGGAAGGTCAGAGATTGCTCAGGTAAATCTTCCCCCAGGCCTTTCTTTGCTCACACATACCACACCCTCCCTCCCCCTTTGCTCACGCATATACCACACCCTTCTTCCCCCCTTTGCTCACATGCACGTACCCACCAGCAGCCTCCTTCCCTGGGCCTCCCTATGCTTGCATGCATGCACCCCACACCCTCCTTCCCAGGCCTCCCTACACTCGTAAATACCCCACCCCATCCTTCCCAGCCCTTACACTCGCACACACTCTATGCCTTCCTTCCTGGGCCTCCCTGTGCTCATGCCGCACCACAGCATCCTCTCCCCCAACTTGCATGTGGCCTGTGCCAGGCCTCCCAGGGCCTCCCCCACTCCTGTGGCACCCCCATGCTCTTTACCTGGGACTCCCGCTGCTTCCTGCTTAACAATCTGTATATCTAGGGATTACGATGGCAACCAGGACTACCTGGATTGCTGTCATTAAGTGATGAGGTCATGTGATGTCACACTTTATGACTGTATTGCTTAGCAATGGCAATCCCGGTCGCAATTACTGTCATAACTCGAGGACTGGGTATAATTTGAAATACTGATTTTGACATTTAAATAGAATGACTTCAGATACTATCCTTACAACTATTAGCCTGTTGAAATTTTAAAGACAGCAGCAGAGAATCACTTGTTTATGATTGAAGGACACTAGGCTAAAAAGAAAACATAAAAATTGTTTTAAAAAAAAAAACTATGATCCTTACACCTTGGAAATGAGCTGCTATCAAACTTAGGGAAGCTTAGATGCTCTTACTGATTTTCATTCAAGCTACACTTTATCTTCATGGATTCTTATTTGCAATTTTATCATTATCAGAGGTGATTGTGAATGTTGTGAAATTAAGGATATTAAATGTACTGACTATTGTTTTATCATAATGATTTTCTTAAATATAATCTGTTGAGGCAGTTGCATTAAAAAAAATATTATTAAATGAATGGAAAGATATTAGTAAAATCATCCTAGGTCCCTTTAACTTTGGTCCATTTTCTTAAGGCTACAGAAGCAGGCCTTGTCAAGGTGGAAGTGATAGGGATAAGATCCTACTGCCAGGTAGAATGCAGAGGATAGGTGGTTT